CTGCCTTAAAGGAGCTCTCGTTCTAATTGGGAAGATAACATGCAAACAACTACATACAGACAAGAGATATACAAAGTAGATGAAAGGTAATCTCAGTGGGATGGCACCAGTAGTGGAGATAGAAGGACCAGGAAAGTTCTTCTGTGGAAAATTGGACTTCAGCTAAGTCTTAAAGTAACCCAGAGAAACTTGAGAAACAAAGAAAGGTGAGGAGGGAGAGCATTTCATGAATAGGGGAAAGGCAGTAAAATGACAAGGAGTTGGGAAGATGGAATATCATTCTCTCAAAATGAATGAATGAATAAATAAATAAATATATATGTATGTATGTTTGTGTGTATATGTATGTATATGTATGTATGTATGTAAACACACACACTATATAATTTTTTCCTCAATTACATGTTAAAACAATTTTTTAAAAGTTTCAAATTCTATCCCTTCTTCCATACCCGCTCCTTGAGAAGGTAAGCAGTCAGATATAGGTTATATTTGTTCAATCATGTAAAACATTGGAATATTATTCTTGAGGAACTTCAAGTAGGGGTTAGAATAGCTAGATCATGGTTTGGTCATTTTAAGTTATGTCTGACTTTTTGTGACCCTATTTGAAGTCTTCTTGGCAAAGATACTGGAGTGGTTTGCCATTTCCTTCTCCAGCTCATTTCACAGATGAGGAAACTGAGGCAAACAGGGTTGCCCAGGGTTAGGTGAGGCCAGATTTGAACTCATGAAGATGAGTCTTTCTGACTCCAGACCTCTTAGTCCACTGTACCACCTAGCTACGTGATTATACAATACTTAGAAGCATAAGGTATAAGAAGACTGCAAAGTTTAGGAAAGAGCTATAAAACTTTAAAAATTCCACATGGAATAAATGAAGCATGTAAGTGTTTACTATATTCAAAGTACAGGAGGTACAAATAAAATAGTAAAAGCGTCTCTGCTGTCATATTCTAATGGGGTAGACCATTCATAAGGCTTAAACATTTAAAATGCAAATGCATGATTAAGACAACACGTTGACAAATTCATTTATATGGCCATCTACTTATGAGGCATTTTGCAATCTTTATGGTAGATTAAGTTTTAGACCATAGGGTGGCAGTGATTATCAGTGAGTGGGGGAAGGAGAGCAAGATTTGGAATATGACACACACATCAAATTTTCGACTACCTCACTTTGTCCAAGGAATTGCCTGGGTATTTTTGTAAGCAATAATAGGTATGGTGGGGAAAGAAATTTCCTGCACAGTAATACACTGTTGTAGTTTCAAATGATTGTTGTACTTGGACTCATTGCACCCTTGACTTCTTCATCCTTTTCCCTATATGCAACTACCCATTTTCTCATTCCTGTCCTTCTTAATCCTCCCCCACAAATATCAGGCTCCATATCTATATACCCCTATTCCTAAGTTCTCTGGATTTCTAGCTTCATAATTAACAAACTTGCTTTCATCTTGACCCTTTTCCTTTCTCATTCTTTCAATTTTCTAACATTGACTGATACCTAGATCCCTCCTGGTGGTTATTTTAGTTGTGGTTGCACTTTCATAATCTCGATTCACTGGTCCTAGAGGGGGACTCAAAAATATCCCTTGATCTCCATTGCAACTTCCATTTTCTCCCGCTATCACCATCATTCAGTAATTTCTCTGCTGATATTGATGCTATTCGTGTCAATGATATATATTCTGATGTCCATTATCTACCTTACCTCTAGGACATTTCTCTTCCACCATTACTTTAACGTCTGGCTCAGTCTTTTTACTCAAATTCTTCCCTTCATTAGGACATTACACCTGCATACTGATACTCCCTCAAATACCTTAACTTCCCAGTTCCCATGATCTATTTCTTTATTCTATCTTAGCTACCCATTGGTATGGTCATACCCTTGATCTTAACATCACTCACAGGTGCTATCCTTACATAGTCATATACTCTGGTATTTCTATAAGTGATCATAACTTTTTATCATTCCATGTTTACCTTATGATCCCTAACCCTTTTCTTAATTTTTACTGTGACTCACAATTTCTTCAGCTCTCAATTCTTTTCCAGATCATCACTCTGCGCTGGCTACATCTCCTCCCTTCCCTATCTTAATGCCTGAATCAGTTCAATTATTCTCGTTCTCTCTCTCTCTTATGTTTTTTAACTTGACACATAATTTCATTGGTTGTAGAAGACTCCCTGTAGGGAAGCTCATTTACCTCTAAAAATCACAACTCTGCCGTTGAGCTGCAATTTAAGAGTCTTAGTTGCCTGTGGCACTGAGAGTTATGTAGCTATCCCCGGGTTATACAGCCAGTATGTATCAAAAGCTAGATTTGGGGCCCAGCTCTTCTTTTTTTTTAAATTTTATTAATTTATTTTAATTTATCAACAATCACTTCCATATGCTTTTGAGTTGAAAATTTTTCTCCTCCTTCCTTCCCCCCCCCACCCTCCCCAAGACGGCACACAATCTGATATAGGCTTTACATTTACATACCCCTGATATATATTTTCACATTAGTGAAGTTGTAAGTAAAAATTAAAACCAATAGGAGGAACCATCAGAAAGATGAAACAAAACTGAACAGGAGGTAAAAATAGGTGATAGCGATTCGACTTCCATAGTTCTTTCTTTGGATGTGGACAGCATTTTCCATCCCCAGGCCTCTGGAGATGTCTTAGATCTTTGTAATGCTGAGAAGGGTTCAGTTTAACAATCTTAGTCATTGCATAACGTGGCTGTTATTGTGTACAGAGTCCTCTTGGTTCTGCTCACTTCACTCAGCATCAGACTATATAAGTCTTTCCAGGTTTTTCTGAAGTCAGCCTGTTCATCATTTCTTGTAGCACAATAGTATTCCATTACATTCATATACCACAACTTGCTCAGCCATTCCCCAATTGATGGCATCCTCTCAATTTCCAATTCTTTGCCACCACAAAAAGAGCTGCTATGAAGATTTTTGTACATGTGGGTCCTTTTCCCATTTGTTTGATCTCTTTGGGATATAGCCCTAGAAGTGCTATTGCTGGATCAAAGGGTATGCACATTTTTGTAGCCCTTTGGGCATAGTTCAAATTGTTCTCCAAAATGGTTGGATCATTTCACAACTCCACCAACAATGTATTAGTGTTCCAATTTTCCCACATCTTCACCAACATTTATCATTTTCCTGTTTTGTCATGTTGGCCAATCTGATAGGTGTGATGTAGTACCTCAGAGTTGTTTTGATTTGCATTTCTCTAATCAATAATGATTTAGAGCATTTTTTCATATGACTATAGATGGCTTTAATTTCTTCATCTGAGAACTGTCTGTTCATATCCTTTGACCATTTATCAATTGGGGAATGGCTTGTGTTCTTATAAATTTGTCTTAATTCTCTATATATTTTAGAAATGAGGCCTTTATCAGAGAGACTGGTTGTAAAAATTCTTTCCCAATTTTCTACCTTCCTTCTAATCTTAGTTGCATTGGCTTTGTGCAAAAACTTTTCAATTTAATGTAATCAAAATTATCCATTTTGCTTTTCATAATGTTCTCTATCTCCTGTTTGGTCATGAATTCTTCTGTTCTCCATAGATCTGATAGGTAAACTATTCCTTGCCTCTCCCAGTTTGCTTATGGTATCAGCCTTTATATCTTAAGTCATGAACCCATTTTGACTTTATTTTGGTATATGGTGTGAGATTTGGGTCTCTGCCTAGTTTCTGCCATACTCTTTTCTAGTTTTCCCAGCAGTTTTTTTCAAAGAGTGGGTTCTTATCCCAGAAGCTGGGGTCTTTGGGTTTATCAAATAATAGATTACTATAGTCATTGACTACTGTGTCTTGCATATTTAACCTATTCCACTGATCCACCTCCCTGTTTCTTAGCCAGTACCAACAGTTTTGATGATGGGGCCCAGCTCTTCTTGACTCCAAGGCAAGCCGTCCATCCTCTATGCCTTGTTGTTTCTTAATGTATCATATATCTCACGAATTTTCTCTCCTTTTAAAATTCACTGATATGTCAGTGTCTGAGAAACAGAAATAAAAACTGAGATAGATGATTAATTTCACTTCTTTAGTCAGACCATCATCCCACTTGAGTGAAATGCCAGATACTGAAATCTGTATTCTGGAGGACAACAGGAAATGCTCATAAAACTTTTTTGAAGGGTAAGGAGAGAAGGAATTGTCAAATGGGCCAGAATTGGCATGGAGCAAAGGGATTTTTGTCCATGATTTTTGTAGGTTGTTTTTTGTTTTTGTTTTTGTTTTTTTTTTTAGTTTAGTGAAGCACCTATGAAAATAGGTCTGCTACTTAAGGGCTTCAGGAGATTTGTGAAGACCTAACAGAAATCTGGCCTTTTGCTTTAAACTTTTTATAAAGCATTCTTGAAGCATTTATTTTGAATCAAAACTTTAGTTCCATTTTTAATTTAATTATTGCTATGATATTATGAAACCTACATATTTTTAAGTATAGATTATATTTACTTCATGCTAGAGGTAAGATGCTGCCAGTTATTATTAGGATTCTTACCCTAGCTGAAATCTCATTGATATTTTAAGAAATGCTGTTATCTTCTCAATAGATGAAGTAGTACTTGGGAATTTTAAAAACTCAGAATGCTGTGAGTAATAGCATTTTTGCTCCACTATTCTCATGGTTGTTGACCTGAAAGTAACAAGGTCTCATTTCGATTCTGCTCTTTCTTATGTTTCTTTGTTTATAATCCCTAATAATAACTTTTGAAAGCGTTAACTGATTTTTGACCAGGGATAAAATTGTCCAGGTGGCAGGCTCTCACTGTGCCTTTTTTGTTGTTGTTGTTAATTTTTAGGAGCTCTCCAGTTGAGCAAGCTTGTCTCTCCTTTCATCACCATCTTATCTTCCCTTTTTGTGTCTCCCCCCCCTTTGCTAATATAGTTCTGACAATAGGTAGAGTTATTCAGACTTTTTATTTAAAAGGCCATGAACTAATATGTTTTTTACTAATTTATTTTAACAGAAACCAAAGAAGCCACCACTCCCTTCCAAGGGTCCAGGTATGTAAAAACATATTATTCTGTTCAGCTTACATAGTATGAAACATCAAAGGGATAGGATATGAATTTAATAAAAATGTTATTATTTCTGTTCTTGCCATTAAAATGGCATGTTCTCTAGCAGAATCAATGAATAGTCAAAAAATATGTAGAAAATTTAAGAGTTTTAGTTAGATACTTTCAAAATTTGTCTGATCCTCTGCCACCATCAGGCTTTCTTCACTGCAGGTGTTGTTTCTTGGTGATGGACGGTGATGCTTCTGAAGTCTAGTGGTGCATGTTCTTTGCCTCATGGCATTTAGCTTATAATACTTTGTCTTATATCTTTAATGTTTAGGTCTTTAATAGTTACAAAGAAGATACCAAACAGAATACGAACTAGTACTAGGCTTATCTTCTATTTGTCCAGGAACAATGTTATCATGAAAATGAAATTTTTTTTCTGTGGTCTCTAGCCCTGCCTTTGTGCTCATATTTCTTTCTCAATGACATCTTGTCCATCCTCTCCTACCCCCCTCCCCACTCCCCTTTAGACATTCTACCTCTTCTAACAAAACAAGAAAATATTGTGCTTTAAATTTCCAAACTTGTCCAGGTAACATAAGCCATGGTATTTGTGTGTATTTCTCTTTTCCTTCTTTTCTTTCTTCCCTCTTCACATAGAGTATCACATACCCTTACCTACCTGTGCTCTGCCCACAGGGAATGTAAATTTTAATCACTGAACCTTTTTTTGTCTTGTTTTGTTTTGTTTCTCTTAAAGACCAGCCTTAACCCTAAATCATTCTGGTCCCAGACTAAACCCTACTTGGTCACTGTTTGGGCCCTGATGGTTTCAGAATGAACATAAATAATAATTGTTTCTGTTGTGGCCAGAAACCCTGAGGGTCCCCTCCCAGATCTGCTTTTTTTTAATTATTATTATTATTATTAAAGAGGCCATTCTTTGCCTCATTTTTAAAAAATTAAACCTTGATCACTGCAAATGGGTGGTGCCTCAGTCAAACTGAGACCTGTTAAAAGATCTTAGCTTAAAAGGGCAAGGGTCTCCCATTGCATCTTGGGCCATCTCCAGTTGTCTTGATTCATATGTGGCCACTGGACTCAGATGGCCCTGGAGGAAAAAGTGAGGCTGGTGACTGTGAACAGCCCTCCCTCACTTAAATCCAATTCACTTGCATGTCATGGCATCACCTCCCTGATGTCATGGTCCTCTTTGAGAATGAAGGATGAACAGTAGCAAATATTATAGTAGAGAGAACACTGAATTTGGCTAATGGACCTAGGTTTCAATTTCAGCTCTGCTACTTAGTAATACTTATAAAACATACAGAGTGCTTTAAGGGTATATAAAGCACTTTTCTCATGACAATCCCATAAAGTTGGTGATACTGTTACCACCGTTTTACAGAGGAGAAAACTGAGATTTTGGGAGGTTAAGTGCCTTCTCCATGGTCACGCGTCTTTTAAGTGTCTTTAAGAACTAGATATCTAACACACATTTCCTGATTTCAGGTCCTGTGTTCTATGTGCTGTGCCATATAACCTACATGATTTTTGACAAATCAGTTCACCTCTGGGCCTCTGTTTCCTTCTCTGTGAAATCAGTGGATTGGACTGTGTGACCTCCAGTTCTAAGTTACTATGATCTGTAAATGTTCAGCGATAAGATATATTTCCTTTTACAGAAATTTCAGATAGCCAATAGGTGGAGGATGATTCCTTTGGAACTGGAACCTTTTCCTCATCCTTAAAATCATATTGTGTTGAATAGGCTAGCCTACTAGATATGGAATCATAGAAATAAAGAGGTAGATAGGACTTTTGGGCCAGCTGCATGGCACAGTGGATAGAATGCTGTATCTGGAAGACCTGAGTTCAAATCTGGCCTAAGATACTTAATAGCTCTGTGACCCTGGACATGTCAGTTAACCCTGTTTGCCTTAATTCTTCATCTGTAAAATGAGCTGGAAAAGGAAATGGCAAACCACTCCAGTATCTTTGCCAAGAAAACTCCAAATGGGGTCACAAAGAATTGGACACAACTGAAAATGACTAAACACAACAAAAACTTTTAAGGTAATTTAGTTGATTTACTTTATTTTGCCATGAGTGCCTTGCAAGGTCAGAAGGGATGGTAGTCTTTCTGCTCCCCAAATGCCAAGACATTTCTTTGTGGAAGAGGAACTCTTGTTGTATCCCATTTCTTAAGAGTTAATGGGAATGAGGAGTAAATGTTGCAGCGTAGGAACTTGGAAATCCTCATCAAGCTTAAACATAGATCTTCTAGACTCTCAAGTCTTTTCCTTCAGCCTTGCACTAAGACTTCCATTTGCCAATTATATGTAGTCCAGTCTTTGTGTTCTTTGTTCCATCACTACTTTTAGCCTGGATCTGTCTCCACTAGCTATCATCCTTGTAGCATTGGTGATGAAGCCTAAGCTAATGATAAACTTGGATGGGCTTGTTGGTTCTCATGAGGGGCATGGGAGGTATGGGAAGATAGGCTTGAATAAAGCCAAGAACAGAGAAGGTATAGAGAAAGTAAGACCTGGGTAGTTAACAAGTATTGGGGAGGATGCCAGTCAGAAAAGAGAAATCCAGGAAATAAGGAAAGTCAGAATAGAAAAGGGAAAGAACTAATGATATGACGCACAGGCAGAAGATAGGAAATCTCAGCTCCGAGTCATATAAGGTGAAGAGGAACATGAAGTTACAACTAAAGATGAGCCTGCCTTAAAACACACACGTCATTCTCTTTAGTTTCTATTTTTCTCAATCTTTAGGATTTGTTTTCTCATGCAACAAACAAGCTATTTGGTGACATTGTAGAGAAAGCACCTGAATTTAAGATAGAGGGCCTAGAGTTTATAGTTAAGAACTGGCAAAGAAAAAGAGACAGATCAAGACCACTTGGCTGTTTATTTAGACTCTTCCTCCCTATGTATTTTTTCTTAATATAGCTGGCATAAATTTTAGATCCCATCCTCAGTTTGTGTGCTTAAAAACTTGATTTTAGTAGTTGTTTATCCAGAGCTGACGAGGCTCTGTAGAACTAAGCACAATTACCAAACTTAATAGAAATTCATGTATAAGTCAGAATGCTAACTTATTAATTTACAGTATAAAATTAGGTACTTTGTTTCTAAAACAAGGTATTTAGACTAGATGGTCTTTGAGTCACCTAATCCTGTAATACTATGAACTAGTTAAAAAGGGGAGAAATGGTTTTATAAACTAGGCTTCTAGAGTCTAAGGAAATAGAAATGATTGCCATAGTTGGTTTTGAATGCAAGCCATATTCTGGAAATCTTTGATACATTATATGAATATTGGTTATTCTACCTTTTCAATCACATTGTCTCAGGGCAGCTACATCTGATCTTCTTTATAGCAATGATTAATAAGACCAAAGTTAACCCATTAATTTACAGTTAAAAAAACTGAGTGCATAGAGATGAACTCTTCAGAAGGTTCTTGTGTGCCCTAATTAAGTTCTGCCTTCAAATGAATGTTTCTTATAATTGTTGTATATAGTTTATTTCTCGATGGGATATACTGTTTAAGAAATATCATTCCTTATGTTCCCTCTATGTGAACCTCTAATAATATATATGAATAGTGAAAGTCACTTTCGAAGAACAAGTTTTGAATTCAAAATCACTTTCATAGAAACAGAGTGCTAAAAAACTAGAAGAGGGTTTAGTGATCAGCTAGTCCAATGATTTTATTATATGTATTAGGATATTAAGACCCAGAGAGGAAAATGACTTGTTAAATGATAGAGCCAATACTAGATAGAACCCAGGTATTCTGGCTTGTTGGTCCAGTGATATTACCTTATACCCTCTGTCTATCCTTCGTTACTTAAAAGTTCAACTTTCATTTTTCATTACAAAGTATAGAAAGAATTGTTATTATGTTTTACAGTTATAAAAGCCAGCAAAATGTCAGGTGCTTTTGTTTTTTCTTTTAGCTCCCAAGCCTGATCCTACAGTTTTAGAGAAGAAGTATTTTTCTTCTAGGCTTGAAGAAAAGGGTAAGATTTTGTTTGTTTGTTTTTTTGGCAAAATTACTTCTTCAAGAATGTTTTAATATAATTAATGTGGGAATTTTTGTGATGATTAGGAAAGCTTAAACTAATTTAAGAGAATAAAACACTGATCTAAGTTGTGATACCTCCTATGATTTGGTAGAATCTCTTTTTTGATGATTGTTATAGCAAAAAAAAAATAGTCAGACAACTTAGACTGTTGTTGCCACCTGTGTTACTTGCCTAACCATTCTTCCTAGCCACTAAAACTCTGCCTAGATTCATTTCCCAGTGGTTAGCATATTCCTTTTATTCTTCCTATCCTTGTGATTCCAAATCTCTGATAAAAAAACCCATTTCCCAGCCTCAGCTGTTGGCTCTCTAAGTTCCATCCATTTTAATGCTAATACCCACCCTGATTCCCCAGGTTATTATCACATTCCATATCAGCCTGCCTGTTGTACTGTGTTCGCTCTACAATTAATAAATTTCTTGTTCTTTAAGGACCTCTTCCTTTCTTGGTCTTCCTGTCTTCTGGCAGTCAGTGAGACTTGGATCCCCCTGGGTGGCACAATATCTCTCACCGTGCTTTCTGTTTATTATTTATACCTTCTTTCATACACCCTAAATCTCTGGTCTCGGGGAAGTTGAAATACTCCTTTATTCCTGTTGCCATTTCCCAGGTGCTCCCACTATTGCCATTATTCAGCAGGACCCAGTCCATGTCTTTGGACCTGGTGTATGTTGGTGCCCAGCATATTTCTCTTCCTTTCTTAGTGTATGTCTCATAATCTCCCTTTTACTCTAAAACTCTTCTCTTCATATTAGGCAACTTCATCATACATATCGATGTTCCCTCAAGTTATAACTTCCCAGTTCCTTAGTCTGCTCAACTGTCATGATCTGCTTCTCTATTCTACTTCAACTACACACAAGGATGGTTGTACCCTTGATCTTGCTGTCATCTACAAGTATTCACTTCTGTGTTAAAAACTCTGAAATTCCTTTTTCTGGTCATCTTTTCATCTCTCCCTTGGCCTTAGTACTCCTGAATTTGTTCTTCATCTTCACTGTGATCTACAGTTTCTCCACTCTTCAGTGCTTTCCTGGGCCATCACCCTTGCTTTGACTATACTCCCTTTGATTCCCTATGTTGAACCAGTTCAACACTGATTCTATCCTTTGCTCTTGAATTTCTTGTTCTCTTGTCTGAACCCTAACTCTGGATTACTTTGCCTCCTTTACTGCTGTTTGAATTTGGATGCTGTTGAATGGAACTGGAAGAAGTCGCAAACCTGCCCTGCTTGAGTCCACTACAAAATTATGGTACTGCATCTTAGTTGGGCCTTGCCTTAAATGAGATAGTTCTTCTGTTCCCTAATTTCATCTCTATTCTATGCACCATAGCAGTATCAAACCTTCTTATGCCTCCCATAGCACACCCTCCCTTCCCACCCTGTCCCCAGAATACCTTTTGTAATACCTCACCGAAAAAATTGAAGCCTTTCATCCTGAGTTCTTCTTTCTCCACCTCTTCTCATTAAAATCATTTTCTCTCTCTCTCTTCCTTACCTTAATCTCTGATGAGGAGATGGCTTAATCCTTGATCCTATCCCTTTCTGTCTTTTTCAGATTGCACGTACTGTCATTTCTTTCCTTATGTTCTGGTTCTTTTCCTTGCTGCCTGCAACACACTCTATTTTCCTCCATTCCTTGAAAAAGCCCTCATTAGATCTTACCATCCTAGTCATTGTCATCTTATATCTCTTCCTCTTCTTAGTTAAACTTCCCCTACTCTTTCTTTTAGAACGTCTGTAGTGTCTTTGACCCTAATTTTATTCAACTGGAAGTACTTTCTCACAAGTTACTACTGATCTCCCGATCTCTCTGTAGTGTTTGACACCGCCGATCACCTGTCCTTTTGAATACTATCTCCTCTCTATATTTTTTATGGCAAGCTTCTCTCTTGGTTCTCCCTTTTATTTCTTCGCTGCTGGATCTTTGTCCATGGCATGCCCACTAACCTAGATATCTACCAGGCCTCTGTCTGGTACGTACTCTCTCCCTTGTTGCTCTGGGCTTAAGTTTCACGTAGGTTAGCGAGTACAGTATTTTAGGCTTATGACTGGAACAAAGTGAGATATTCCTAGGCCACATACTTTTTTTTTTAAGTTTTCTTAATGATAGTGTGGGAAAGATATTCAGCAAAGACACAGCTAGTTTAGGTGGACACAGCTGCCCTTGTCATAAAGGGATAGTGAGATTAGAAGGGTGTATTCCTCCATGACAGAAGGAGTTCATCACTTCTAGGGTGTGTCATCTTTTTATGACCTTAGGCAATGGGGAACCTACATCAATAATTCAGCTTTATTTCTCTGGACCTATGTCTCTAAAATGGCCTTCTTGATTTTTTTAAGGGAAAAACTATCCTAACCTACATGAAGGTGTGTGCCTCTTATCACATCCTACCCCCTAGATGATAAGGTCCTAAAAGTCTCCTAGGAGACTTTCTGTTTCTTAAATGGTCTTAGGGCCTTTTCTAGGCAACCATGGCCTTGGGCAAGCAAGAAACCTGGAATGGGAAGCATTGGAGGTAGAAAAGAAAAACCAAAACAGAATCATACCAAGACAAAATATAACAAAACTAGTATAGGCAACACTAGAGAAGAATTGGTATAGGTAGAAGAAAAAAAAACAGAAATAGCTTTCTGCCTTCTCCTCCCTCCTATCCCCCTTCCATATAGGCTCCTGAAGATATGGCTTAAGTGAATATGGAAGATCATGACCAGAATTCCTTGTGTTTGCCCCCCCCAGTTTGGAAAGAACTAAATATTTCTGCCTCGTCATTTGGTTCATGTGAAATGTCAGAGTCACAGCACAGTTTCCTGCATACTCACTGATCATTATCATGGGGTCAGCTATAGTTACCAAGAGGTCATTACCCTTTTGCTTGTGTATCTAGGGCCAGGGTCATTACCAAGACACACTTTGTACCTCTCTAGCTTACTGGCCAGAAACTCCTCCTTCTCAGTCTGCTCCTCATTTCCCCTGGGAGTCCCATTGGAAAAAGGAGAGTGATAACATATCTTTGCCCCTTTACAGGCTTCTACTGACATATTTGCCACTTCTTCTGCCACAGCCTCTGTCTAGTTATATAGAGATGATTTCATCTCCTCCTTCTTGTTAGAAAGCAAGGCATTTCCCAACAATTCAACCATGGCTAAAGGGAAGGTGCAGAAATTATATCCTGTGGTCCTAACTCCAGCAGTGTGGAGGTTTTATCATTTCTATTGAGGATATAATAAATCAGCGGGTTATGATTAGCCTGCTTGTATCACTACAAGTACTTTTTTGATATTGCCCCCCTCAACCATTGCCCATGAGGTTGCTGCAGGGCAAACCATCATCAGAAATGGCCTTAGCAGTCAGTGTGACAACCTTTCTCCCTGTAGTCCACTTTAAGCTGCCAGGTGTCAGTTGCCTTTCCCCATTGGCCACACGGTATATGTGCACTACTTGAATATGTCCCTTGAGGTAACTAGTTTTGGTCAAGCCAGGCCAGGGCTTAGTTTCCTTTTTCTGTTGTGATCATCATCTCATATAGCTAAAATAGCTGTGTAGTGTAGCCAGTATCACCTGAGGATCTCCCATTGTCCCAGCTCACAAGTTCTTACTTCAAGGTTAGAAACATCCATTGTAAGATTACCATTCATTTACCTCTGCTCAAGCAAAGGAACAAAGAAGAGGTAGCCAGAGAACTAAAGGCCTAATTTGCCTAGGCAGCTTATAAGTTTGAAGCTACTTTAACTGCTGCATATTGGAGAAGAGAATTACTTTCTCTCAGTCTCTCATAGGAGATTCCAGTGACAGAGTGTAGTAGGCAGCTAAGTAGTACAGTAAGTGTATAGAGAACTGGACCTGGAGTTAGGAAGACTCGAGTTTAAATTTGACCTCAGACACTTTAATAGCAATTAACTTCTGTCTGGTTCAGTTTCCTCTTCTGTAAAATGGGTGTAATAATAGCATCCAATAACAGCATCTGCCTCCTAAGGGTTGTTGTGGGTTTAAATGAGCTAATATTTTAAAGCACTTTGCAAATTTGTTGAAGTGCTATATAAATGTTAGTTGTTATTGACATGTCACACCTTCTGGAGTGAGAGTGGAAGCTGTCTTTCCTTATAAACTGACTTAGCTATACCTCATCTCCTTAGTGATCTATCTTCAGTAAGCCAAATGGTACATTTGACACCTTTGTCCATATCCCCAATTCTGGAACCTCAGTCATTGTCCCTTCAAAGTACTTCTGCCTTTATATTTTACTAAAGACTTTCAATAAAGTTCATGTAAAATTCCCTCCTAAATGCCATATAAAGTCTTATACAGACCATTCAGCACAGTCAGACAGTCTCCAAATTGATAAGTTTTTAGAGAGGGCCAGGCTTACAAATACAGCCTGGAGATATCACATCTAAATACAAAATTATGCAATTTCAGCCAACAACTTATGTCCATTATTTGCCCCTTTGCCCTAATGGTATGACTTGTAAAGACCAGAGCATGTTCAGCTCCTGTTGACAGTTCATTTTTGTTCTTTATATGATGACGATATTAGCTGTCCAGGACTGTTACCAACATCCAGGGAATGTTAGTAGCATCTTTACTCTCCCTATTCTATCAACACCATGTGCTGTCTACAATGAGAAGCACAGTGCCAGGCTCCCTGTAGTACTAATCACCAGGATTCCCTCTTCTCCTCCTGGGTCTTTCTCCACTTCAGTCCTTCCATACCAGTCATCCTGGCTACTATGAATATTCTTGGTCAGGCCAGATTCAGGCTAGTCTAATGGTTAAGGCTCAGGATTAGAATTAAATGAAAATTTCCAAAACAAGTAACGTTATTTAAAGGAATTGATATCATGAAAGGGATATTCAGTAAAGTTATAGCATGGATTCAGATAGAGTCAGTTCTTTTTGTCTCCATTGGAAGTTAGACCTGGTCAGGAATCATAGTCATGTGTTGTCTCAATTAGCCAATAGGATTCCATGAAGCCTGAGGAACACTTAACTCCTAATAAGCTGGATTTTTTATATCTTAGGTGCACAGTAAACTACATCAATGATTCAGGCCTTATCTGTGAAGCAGCTAAGTCTCTAAAATGGTTTCCTTGCCTTTTGAGGGAGAAACCAGCCTTACCTCCATGTAGTAGATGTTGTTCTTACTATATAGTTATACTTTACGCATAGTGACTTTCTCCATCACAGTTTCAATGTATTGTGTATCTGCAATAAGAAATTAAATGGGAATTTTTTGAGGAGTTCTGCAGAAACCACAAAGTTTAGAAGTTTAGAAAAGTTTAGAAAATCAGAAATGCATAAAATATATGTATATTTTTGTATAATAATATCAAAACCCCATTAAAAAATTCAGACTTCTGGTACAAATAGAGGGCCAAAAAATTTTATTCTGATTTTTCAGATTATGGGGATCTCCGTGATGTGGAAGGGGTTGTGCTTGCTGATCTTATCACCTCCCATAGCTTCGATTATTTCTAAGCAGATAAGGTGTTGCAACTAGACGGCACAGTGGTTAGAGTGCTGGGCCTGGAGTCAGGAAGACTGGTCTTCCTGAGTTCAGATCTGGCCTTAGACACTAAATAGATGTATGATCCTGGCCATGTCACTTAACCTCAGTCCTTATCTGTAAAATGAGCCGGAGAAAGAAATGGCAAACAACCATAGTATCCTTGCCAAGAAAACCCGAAATAGGGTGATGAAAATTAGCACATGCCTGAAAAATGACTGAACAACAAGAAGAGGCAGATAACTTCTAGACCCTGATAACCAGTCCTAGGTTCTCTTCTGATTTCCAGTCCCACATCATATAACTGCCTTTTCAGAGTCATCTCAAACCCATCCTATTCAAAACAATTCATTCTCCTTTTCCCTTAAAACCTACCCTTCTTTTAAACTTCCCAATTGTTGTTGAAGGCACCACCTTCTTTCTAGTCACTCAGGATCATAACCTTGGCGTCATTCCAAACTTCTTATTCTCACTCGACATATCCAGTCACCAAAGGCTTTGTAGGCATTTCTGTTCCAGAATATCTGCTGTATGTTTCCATTTACCCACTCCTGCAGCTACCACTGAAGTTCAGATTGTGATCACCTCTTACCTAGATCAATAAATCATCTGCATTTCCTGCCTCAAGTCTGTCCCAACTCTAACACATTCTCTTTACAGCCACTAAAGAGATTTGCCACTTACAGGCTTAGAACTACTGGCCCTCTCTTAGGCCACCCAGCAGTTTAGTAACTTTGACCAATGTCATACAACCAGTAGGTGTCACAAGTGAGATTTGAATCCTGTTCTTACTGGTTTCAAGGTTAACTATCTACTGTATCATGCTGCCTCTAGTGTTTCTATAGTTGTAAAATGAGTTAAGATTTTAATCACATTGACATATATTTGTTTCAGGAATGAAATCAACACTTCACGGTAGGGATTAGATATTTGATTCATATTTATTTAGCATTATTTTTTATTTGCAGATGACAAAAAATGTTCCATAGTTAAATTTTGATAAGGAGTATGTCAGAACATAAGACTGGAGTGCCAGTGTGCCAAGTTTGTTGAGTTCTGGGTATATAAATAGCTAATTCTTATTGTGGGAGAGCTCACATTCTAATTGGGGATAACTGCACATAAAGCACAATAAGGTGAGGTCTTCCAGATACTCCTCTTAGCAGACGAAATCATTTTGATAGTATAATATCAAGCACTTAAGACATTGCAGAGCCTCCCAAATTAAATTCATGATCAGTCTAAAGAATTTGGACTGTTGTCCCAAGAAAAATTATATGTGTGTATGTATGTGTATATATAAAATGGGTAAATTGTGTATAATTTGTATATCACATAAGTTATATGTATGTGTATATATGAACACCTACATACTCATATAGATAATTTAGATATATAGATAAACATATATTATTTGTCCTTTATTTAGAAGACCAATGACATAAACATACACAGACACACGCGCGTGCACGCACGCTCTCAGAAAACCTAAATAGTTTTGATTATGCTTTCTTTTTTAAAAAAAATTTTGTGTAGATGAAAAATCAGCTTTAGAACAGAAACCTTCAAAGCCAGCGGCTCCCCAGGTACCACCCAAGAAACCTACTCCTCCTAACAAAGCCAACAATTTATTAAGATCCTCAGGGATGATGTATCCAAAGCGACCGGAAAAACCAATTCCTCCACCACCACCTCCTATCTCTAAGTAAGTCACTTCATTTTATATTAATTTTTCTGCCATCAAAAAATTAATTGCATCACTAAGAATATTATGTTTTTAAAAGTAACCGTACTGACCTTGTTTTCTGTTTATTTTTTGGCAAAATGCTAATCTTTCTGTGCTTATCTCCCAAATTATAATGGAAATGTTATTGCTTTTGTGATATTATGTACCAGATTTATACTTGTTGGTTTTATAGAATAGAAAGAATAAAATTAAATCTCAATTTTTAAAAATTTTTATAAATTGCCAGTATCTTTAAATTATTTTTTCTTATTTTTAAACTTAGGCATCAAAAAAACCAAATCATTACTCAACAGTTCCATATTATTTACTTTTTAAAGGTTCATATTAACTTTATGAAAATAGTATTTGTTTAATTTTTTTTTTTTTTTAATTTTGCACATGTTAAATGATCACTCTGTCTCTTTGGTTTTTTATTTTAGGTTCAATGGGGAAGTTCCTGTCTTCCCGTCAAAGACAGAAAATGAGCCAGTATTGAAACCAAAGTTAGATTCTGAACAAGTACCTTCTAGACCAAAATCAGTAGACCTAGATTCATTTGTAATAAGGAGCTCTAAAGAGATAGGTAAGTTAAGAAATACAATAATCTGTTATAATTTTTAAATCTGTGAATGTATATTCTCATTAAAGTCCTAACATGTAGATCTTTACATGTGACGTTAGTATAAAAAGTAAAGTGGAATGAAGGCTTTACACATATTCTTATTATATGTGGTCTGATTGAACAAGTTAAACTAAACTGCAGGTGATTGATCTCAATGATTTTAAATGATATACTATATTTCTAATTAATCATAAGGCTGCAAGAGATTTTGAGAGAACATCTGTCTTAAACCTCCCAAACTGTCCGAGACAGAATAGAATTCATGCTGTTTTAAAATTCGCCCACAGAAATTCCACAGCTTTTATTTCTTTCATTGCTGAACAGCAATATTAGGTTTAAGAAATACTATTTTGATTCCTCTCTGCTTTATTTTAAGGTAGTTTTCTTTTTTATTTTTGCACTCTAGCTTTGATTAAATAGACTCTGTGTAAAGGCTTTTTATATATTTGAATAACGTTTCATAACCTTTTCTGATAAGCTGACTGATACTCTATTCATTTTAGACACAGATCTTCAACCCTTGTTCATCTTTGTGATTATGCTCTGTACCTTTTCCGATTCCCTTCCATTCCTTTTAGTTGTGAGGTGCAGAATTGAAAAGTGAACTCTGGGATTTGTGTTTCACTAGTATACAGTATCTTGTGAAGATTACTTTATAATTCTGTTGGTAATATCACTATTGCCACTTTTTATAGCACTTTGCACTTGTATACTGCTATTTACTTTTTAAAACATTTTTACAGATAATAGACTTTTTTCTTCATTACAATTTAAAGTGATGATGCTTTTATTTTTCGCATAATACAGGAAAGGTACAGGTTGATTTAGTGACTTAATTAGCGTCATACAGTAGTGATTTAGAATAGCCTACAACCCTACTCAGTGCTTTTCCACTACTCCTTTACCAGCCTTTATGTTTTTAGGGGTCTTAGTATTATATGTTTTTTAAAAAAACTATCATGATATATTACTGTTTTGTTTGGGAATTTTTGCACTTTAATTTTCCTTTTTAAGTTAATATCATGCTGTACTATCATCGTTTCTTTTTGACTTTCTAAATTCTTAGACTATTCTCAAACAATATCCTTGTCCCTTATATTAACTATGCCCTATAATGTGTTAAATGTTTGAAACTTTTGAATACTACCAAGTTTGAATCTTTCCCAACAAGCACTAGACAAGACATATTAAGAACAGGGACTTTACATGATTTCGCTAATGTAGGGAACTTGAATAAGGAAACTGCATCTACCAATAAAGATTGGCCTGGTCTCTGCAATTTATAATCTTTAGAGAATTACCTAGGACACCCAGATTTTAGAGACTGAAACTTGGGGTGTTTTCTAACAAAATAATTTCCTTGCCTACTAGCTATTGATTTAAATAAAAAGAGCTGCTTTCATTTTTTTTCCTTTTTATAAATATTTTTACCTTGGCTTTTATGGTTTTTTTTATGTAAGCAAACCTTAATCATTTATAATTTTGAAGTGCATTGAAAAATTTGTTTTTAGAGTTTTGGTACCAAAGTCATAATCTGCCTTTAAAAGTCAAGGAAGTAGGTAATAATAGGTTAAGGGATTTTATTTGCTTCTGGTTCTTGGAAGTGCGTTAATGTTGTCGTTGAGCGCATCCTTATTTCTAATTTACAATTTTTTTTCTATTACTCTTCTCAGATTCTGATGACACTTGTTTGGGGAAAGTGTTCAGGGCCCATGTAAGATTTCCTGATTGATTCTACCAAAATATTTCACAATATACTTAATCTACAGTGCCTTTGCTTTTTAATTCGATTACCTCTCTGTTGAGAATGTGAACATCTGTTTTTCAAGGCAGTAATTCATTTTCCTCTCTGTCTGTATTTCTGTCTCTTTAAATGACCTTAGCTTTTCAGACATCTCTTGTCATTACATTTTTGCCTTTAAACCTTTTTTTTAATATTAATGTATAATATAGTGTGATTTGTTTTTGAGAAATTTCTAGCAGAAATAAAACATATACTTAATACCGTATGAACCAAATTAATAAGTAGTAGGAGAAAAAACTTTATTCTTAACTTTTTAAGAAATCCTTTCCCACTCTACCTTAATATCTAGATGGATAATAAGGGTACCATTTTGAGTGGTTATTAAGCCATTTGAACTTTACTGGGGCATCTCTTCACTAACTAAAATTTAGAATAGAAATAAATATGCAAGCGATATAGAATAGCAGATGACTAAATCCTTACTTTAATTAATGTGGCCACAATACAGAATGCAGATAGGGGTTTACTGATAACAAAACGCAGCAATTGTAATTATTAAAGTAAGTTGATTTGCTTTAGTTCAGTCACCCCATAACTTAAGGCCATGGAATTAAGGAAACAACTCTTATAATACATGTAAATATTGGAGAGTTGATTAACATACAATTAAGTCTACAAATAGTTATTGCACACAAAACACATGCACGCACATGTACAGGCATAATGGGATACAAAAACTGCTTAAGTGTAATTTTACCTTTTCCAAGTATCTTAGGTTCTGCTTGTTTCTGTTTTTCATTTAGGTTATAGGGTTATTATATTTAAAACTAGAGGGGAACTTAATGGCAGTTTTATTTAGTAATGCTCTTAATTTCTATTTATTTTGCCCTTTTTGTGACATGTTGACATTTTGAAAAGCACCGTCCCATGTACATACCCAAATGGAGCCTTAGTCAGCAATGAAAGCCTATAATAATTAATGAGTTAAAGAACGTATCATAGAAATAACCCATATGGAAAGGAAAATTACAATAATGAAACAAGAAATAAAATTTCTGCGATGCAACTAAAGCAGTCTTCAGGGAAAAATTGTATCTCTAAAAACATACATTAACATAATAGAAAAAATAAATAACAACTTAGTTTATGGTCAGCTAGATGGTACAGCGGATTGAGTTCTGAACCTGAAATCAGGAAAAATTTTCTTTCTGAGTTCAAACCTGTCCTCAGACACTTACTAGCTGTGTGAACTCTGTTTACCTCAGTTCCTCTTCTGTAAAATGAGCTGGAGAAGGAAATGGCAAACCACTCCAGAATCTTTGCCAAGAAAACCCCTAATCAGGTCACAAAGAGATAGACACAACTAAAATGACTAAAATTTTAATGCTTTACCAAACTATCAATGGAATACTTTACAGAATTTATTTAGAAAAGCTAAAAGGAAATGAAGACAGGGATGAATATAGAATAGCACTTCCAGACTTCAAGCTTAATTATTAAGCTATTGGTTAAAAAAAAATAAAGAAGTGTAACAAAACAGAATAGAACATGGGGAATCAGAAACAATGGAACCAGATAATCCAGTGTTTGAGGAACTAGAAAGTATAAATTACTTAGGAAAAAGATTCCTTATTTGATTCAATACTACTGGGAAAACTGGAGAGTTCTCCAACAGAAATTAGGCTTACATCAACCCCTTATGCCCTATTCCACAGTAAGTTCTAAATGTATATGTGACCTTAATATTAAGGATCATAGTATAAAAAAGTTAGAAAAGAAGCAGACAATGTACTTTTCCCAATTGTAGATAGAAGATGTATTCTTAACCAAACAAAGGTACAAAAGACAGATAATTTTGATTACATAAAATTGAAAAGCTTCTATATTAAAAAAAATTACTTCAAGAATAAGAAGGCAAACAGTTATATGTGAAAGATATATTTTTATCAAATTTCTCAGGTAAAAGTCTGGTGTACAGGATTATAAAAAGTGACAGTTATATGACCAAAGACCAATCCCCAGTAGAAAAACGGTCAAAGGATGTGAACAAAGAGTTCTTAAAAGTGAAATTGAATACTGTTAGCAACTATATGAAAGAACACACACACACACACACACACACACACACACACACACTTTTTGATTTCCCAGATAACAACCTATTTGTGTGAACTCCCTGTACCAAAGGAAATCTGTGACTTTATAGGTAAAATCCTAGGGAGTTTGTCTTCAGGCAAAAGTTTAGTGGCATACCAAGGACCCAGGTTTCACTGACTCTAAGCAAAGTCCACTACTCCATGATGCTTTTTTTTCTTCATTTCATCCTAGGAAAAGTACCATGCTTAGTTTTTCTCATCCCCCCCCCCCCGAATTACAGTATTTTTCTTTGGGTATTGTGAAGTATATAGAGACAGCTTGGCTTAGTATGTAGTATACTGGTCTTGAAGATCTGGGTTCACATCCTGTGTCTGATGCTTGCTAGCTAGTTTAGCTATGCTTGCTAAAATTCCCTGTGTCCCAGTCAACTCTCCAATTATAGATGGCTTTCCACACCTAGAATTCCTCACACTGATGAAATCACAGATCCCTCTCTTATTTATTCCCATTTTATATGATGCTGAGAACACATAAATCTATTTAAACACGCAGTTCCCACTTCCTTTTCAAACATATAGAATATATCATTTTTGGAAGTTTGTTAGAGAGATGTCACAGCTCAGATATTACTAAGAGGTTATATTTTTTACTGAATAGTAGTATTGCTTTCTAGTGACCTTAAAATCAGAAGGAAAATCTAATATTAATCCTTAGAAGTTAAAATGATGATGCTGGTATTGGTTGCATTGGATATATTTTTTCATAATTGGCAGTACTTCATAGTTTTTCCCTCGAAAAAAGTCTTCCAAATTTAAAAGATAGCTTTGAAAGGACAGACATTTTATTTACAGTATTTCTGTGGTAAGGAAAATAAATCAATCTCCTGTTCAATCTTATTTGTTCATTTACTGTAATCCCCCCCATATGATCGTATTACTAAGACAGTAGGCACCATGTAAATTTTTTAATACGTAAAAAGGAACACTGTATATAACCTCACAGGACTTAAACCATGACAGATATGCATGAGCAGACATTGTAACACTAAATTTCCTGTTTCTTTTGACTTTATATTTGTGAGTTTTCTATTATTGAGATTATCAAATGGGACATGAGCATATTTTCATTGAAAATATATAACTGACATAGTCCATTTTTCTGTTCAGGTTTTTAGATCTCTTGACATCTGTAACCTTTAAGAAAAAAGAAATATATAGCATTAGTCATACTTTCTAATGTTGTGAAATCTCAGAGTCAATGCTTATTGGTATCATATGCCAAGAAATTGATCATACATAATCTAGTTATAGCCATCAAACATTTGTATCAGATTGTATTCTTAAACAAAATCAGTGTTTTGAGGCCATCTTTATTCTCTTTCTAAATTTATATACTTCTGAACCTGTAGCTATAGTTTATTGAAGCAGGCTCATTTAATAATTAAAAGGATAGAGCTCAAATAAAAAAACAGTTCTTATTTAAGCCTAATATGTAATAACCATATATAATCAATATGCTGAATATTGAAGCTATGCTGTTCCTTCTACCAATGTTTCTTTTTCCTGCTTTGTAAAATAATTTTTGGGTTCAGAATCTTTTTTCTAGACATTCCTATCCTTGACTTTTCTTTCCAGATTTTGTTTCCTATCCTGTTTGCCATGTTTCCCTTCTTACGTGTCAGGAAATTACCCTACCCTTCTCCATTTTGGTAAGATGCTATTCTATTAAAAAAAATGGTATACTCGGTAGAATTTACAATCTTGAAATCATAGAAAGTTTCTAGTCAGTGTTCCTTAAACATTGTTTGTTGTGTTTTGACTTACTTCTTGCCTTGTCTTCCTGAGCAGCCAAACAGAAATTTAGGTTATTTGAAAGTAATTGAATGATTGATATTAGCTATATTAATGGGCAACCTAATTCAAGCTGTTGTTACTCATAAACAAAATTCAAAGATTTAAATATTTTAAAGGATTTTTTAAAAAGGATTTTATTTAAATGATATGTTTAAGGATTTAAGTATATGATAGTGTGCTCTCATTAAGTATTTCATGAGTTTAGGGTGTACTTTAAAAAAAAAACTAACCTAAGAACAAGGAAGTTGCTAAGTTAAGACTGTTCAGCTATAGAGAGAGCTCAAGAGTATTATTGTTATTATTAGTTGTTGGTTATGTGAAAATGTTTTTTCATGAGTATGGTATGCAATGTTAAATTCATCTTATGTTTTGTTTGTCCTTCCATTTTTCCCTACTTTATCGTTTATCATTAATTTTTTTTCTTTTTTGTTTCTGTTAATCGCTTAAATATACATTAAAAAATAATACCTACAAATCCAAAATGACTGATTGTAGTAGTTACTGTGGTTTTACTTAACAAAAAATGTTTAGCAGCAGCAAAAGCAGACTTCTACATTCAAAATAGAGAAAATACTTTCTTTTTACATGTAGCATCTCTATTTGGCAATGAAATTTATAAATATAAATGCTTGTATGTACATCTTGATTGGAGATTAAAAAAAATTTGATGATAAATACCCTTATAAATTATTATTTGTTTTTTTACAGTATGTATAGTCTTATGGCATGTGATTTCTTACATCTGAATGCAGACAGTTATCAAAAATATAAGGAGATATTAAAGTGCCTATTTTGTAATATTAATGTAGCAGAGTGAGGTACCCAAGATGGAAAACACAAAATAATCAGAATATGAGGTTGGAAAAGTGATAAATATTATTCAAATGAAAAGTATTACTGTTACTATAAAACTGGCATTGTTAGATAGGGTGCTTCCCTCAACCCTTCTACATTCTCCATTCCTCCCAGACACACAAAAAATGTTGAGAGCTGAAGTGGGCCGTGGATATTGGGTTAAAATGTAATAAATTATTAGAATACTTTAGAAAAATGAAATTAAATATATAGAACAAATGAAGCAACTAATAAAAAAAAATTACCAAAGTTTGTGGTAAATGTTACCTGGGGTTTGGGGTGGGGCTAAGGAGAGAGGGCATAGATCTAGATCTGAGAGAATCCAAAGCTATCTATTGCATTATGAGACAGCTTAGCTCTGAGTCATGTGGGTAGGGAAAGTCTAGAAGGATATACAAAGTAATCCATACTAGAATGACCCAGTGTTCCCTCAGGATCTTCTCCCAACTTTAGCATGAAGCATGAGTAAAGTCTTCCTTATCAGGGGTGAACCATAGGGAAAAAAGGCACCTACAGAATGAGGTTAAGCTTCACCAGCTTTAACAATGACAAATAAGATGATGTTCTCTATATTGCCTTTTCCATATTCTCCTTGTCTTGGGATTTCAGACCCTTGGGGATAGTAATACAGCAAATAGAGCAGTAAGTAAAACTAATAATACTTTTAAGCAATTGCTCAATGAACTTATAATCTGAGTTGAGAGTTTAGTTATAACCCTAGCTGTATCAGACTGAGCAGAACAGAACAACTTAGGCTTTTTCTTTGTACTGACAAACAATTTTATGTGAAAGTATACTGTTATACATAACTGAATTCATAAGTGTCATCATAAAGTTATGACTTGGTATCTTAAATGGGTTTCATGTATCCATATTTTCCTTTGTTTTGAGATATATAGTAGTTAATGCTTCACTTTAAAAAATAGCCCATGATTTTTTTGCGTGTATTTTTGTTTTTGTATTTGTCTTTTGTTTTTACAAAATAAGGATTTAATATGTTCCAGATTTTTTTATGCTACTATTTCTAAGTAGCTATGGTTCCATATTTACATGACTTGTTCTGTATCTATCTTTTTCCCAAAAAGTACTTTTTTGAAGACTGCTTCTGTACATGAACTTTATGCTATCTTAATTAGAAAAATCTGTGTTTGGGTTTAATTATATCAGAGATTAAACTTGTTTTTAGAGATTATTTTGTTTTCCAAATGTATATGAAAAATATAGTACAACTTTGTGAGTCATTACATGTAATATACTTTTAGTTTATAGTTTTGGAAAACATTTCATTTGCTGTTTACTAATTTGATTTTGTGTCTAGTAAGATAAATGATCTACATATTTATTTTCATCCTCTAGATATGGTAAATTTTGATGACATAGCTTCCTCCGAAAACCTTTTGCATCTTACTGCAAATAGACCAAAGATGCCTGGAAGGAGGTTACCTGGTCGCTTCAATGGAGGTCATAGTGTGAGTTATTTACTGAGTTTAAACAGCAGGTTGCTTAGAAAATGTGAAAGGGACAAAAGCGATCAGAAAGAATTCCTTCTGCTGTAGTCTTGCCCTCAGCATTTACCCCCCACCCCAAAAAAAATCCCTGAGCCAGTTATACCCATGTGAGCAATGGGTCCCAGAAACTTGTGGGTAGAAGGAAGCAAAGCAAAAATAAGAAGTGATCTAGCTGTAGTATAATGAGTAAAGCACTAGTTTTGGAGTCAGGATATCGAAATTTGAATATAAATCTTATGAAGTAATTATGACTTAGGTTAAGTTGCCAAACTTTTTAGTTACTTTTTCCTCAGTTTCCTTATTGTTAAAATGGAAATAATGCATGCACTACTTACTTTCACAAGTTTATTGTGAGGATTCAATAATATAATATGTGTAAGGCACTTTGTAAGCCTTAAAGCACCAAATAGATGAATCTTGTTATTTCATTTTTCTTATTTTTCATGTTGCCGTCATTCTGTTTTTCCTTTATATTAAACATCATGCACATAGGTTTGGCAGACTGTGCACATAGGTTTGGCAGCTGCTTTGTGTAGTTGAATAAAAGTATTGAAATATCAATTCATTTTCGAGAGACTTCTCCAGCAGCATTTATGTGGCATTATTGTCATCATGATCATCATGATTGTCATTCCATTTCCAATAGTGTAGAATGAACTCAGAGTTGGGGAAGCTTTCCTAAAGGTGAATATATCCATAATTCTTATAACATCAGAAAGTCTCAGGACTGGGAAAAAGGAATAAGAAGTCTGCTCTGTACATTTATAAGAGTATTCTTTCTGATTCAGAACTTCTGGTAATATGCATAATACCCATTTTGTTTTGAGCTTTAAAAACAGTCACTTCAACTTTGTTCCCTCAGAACAAAGTGAGAGAGAAGCACTATTCCTAAAAACTTCCATAATATGTATGTGGGGTGTAGCTTTAATGTTAAGGTGCCATTTCTTTGCTGTTTCCTTATAGTTCTGAATCTTATGATCATTTGAAAATAACCTACCCATTTCATATAATAATAGCTTACATTTTTATAGCTCCTTTATACATTTTAATACATGATATAATCACTTTACTAAACAACCCTATGAGGTAAGTGGTGCTACTGTTACCCCATTTTACAGATAAGAAAACTGAGGGTAATAGTAAAATGACTTGCACAACATTAGACATCTAGAAAGTATTGAAAATTGGATTCAAATCTACATCTCCCAATTTTTAGTCCATTATTCTCTCCACTACACTTGGGTTAACATAATAGCTGCACATCATTTCACTGAGTGAATACATCATCATTGTCATCATCATTGTCATCATCATCATCATCAAAAAGATCTTAATCATTAAAGAAATCTGTATAAACTGCCTTTTCTTGATTTGGCTGCTAAGTCCATTAAAAGTCCCAGGCTGCCCCCTGCCTCTTCTAGGACCATTTAGAGTCCTGCTCCTTCGGGAAACATCTCATGTCCGGCTGGCTTTATACTAACCTATTTTTAGGCTGCTATCTTGTTTGTTTGTGTACACACACACACACACACACACACACACACACACACACACATATGTTCTTTATCACTGTATTTGCTTTTGTGTAGTTGGAAAACCTCATTGTAATCAGGAACCAGTTTATTTTTAGCTTCAAGATAGATACGTAATTGGTTTAGTATAGCTAGTTTATTCATTTAACACCAATGAAATAAGATTGTAACAATTAAGTTGAGAACAAATGTTCTTCTTGGGGGAATGGTGGAGTTGTTCGAGGGCCTGTTGACCTTTTCTCTCCTTTTATGCTCCTATAATCAAGTTTCCTTTTAATTCTGTAGCCAATTCAAAGTCCAGAAAAAACCTTGAAGTTTCAGAAAGGTGAGGAAGAAAGTGCCAAATTAAAGACAAATGAAGTTAAAAAGGTAAGCTGCTATTGTTTAAAAGGTAGTCGTTATGCTAGATCAACATTGTCATAGTTTCTGGGATTTGGTAGCAGGGTAAGTCAGGACAATTATAGAATCTGAAGGCTGAAAAATAGAGCCTTAACCTTTTAAAGAAAATTATTCCCTCTCATCTTCCTCATCAGCCCCTGTTTTTACGCTCCTATATCTTACCTTTGGTGAGGGGTGTCCCCATCTATGATTTCATCAGTGTAGGAGGGGGCTTCAAGTAAGAAACTCTCTTCCAGTGCATGTTGACAGCTGTAGCCTCTAGTCTTGAGGTTACCTGGAGTACTGAGAATGTGATTGAGTGTTGAGAGTCACAGAGCTATTATGTATCAGAAACAGGACTTGAAACCAGATTATCTTGATACCAAGGCTAATCTGTACCTGTACCTGTACCTGTACCTTGCTACCTCTTTGGTCCCTATCCTCTCTAGGCTTTTAGGACACCACTCTCTTCTGGTTCTCCTCCTGCCTCTCTAACTACTCTTTCTCTGTCTCTTTTTTTGGATTCTCTTCCAGATCACAACATCTAACTGTAGGTATTTCTCAGGATTTTTTCCTAGGCCGGCCCTCTTCTTTTCTCCCTTTATACTACAACACTTGGTGATCTCATTAGTTCTTATGGATTTAATTACCATCTCTATGTAATGATTCTCATTTACCTATCCTGATTCAAACTCAGCTGACTTCATCTCATGTCTTTAACTGCCTTTCAGACATCTTGAACTCCATGCCAAATAGATATGTAAACTCAAGATGTCCAAAATGGAACTCATCATCTTTCCCACTAAACCTCTTGTAGAGGATAGCATAAACTACCCTGAGGCTCCCAACCTAGAAGTCATTCTGAATTCTTCACTATTTCTCTTCTTCTCACCCCCGCACCACCAATATCCAAGCTATTGTCAAGGCTTGTGGATTTTGCCTTTGTGATATCTCTTGAATACACTCCCTTCTCTCCTCTAGCACTGCCACCACTTTAGTATAGGCCTTTATCACCTCATGCCTGGATTATTGCAGTAGCCACCTGGTAGGCTGGCCCCTGCCTAAAGTTTCTCGCCATTCCAGTCCATCCTCCATTCAGCTACTAAGAGATTTTCATAAAACACAAGGCTGATCGTGTTTACTCAGTAAACTCCAGTGGCTCCTATTGTCCAGAGGAGCAAATACAAAATACTGTAATTGGCATTCAGAGCCTTTCATAGACTAGCCCCCTACCTTTCCAGTCTTCACATCTACTTTTTGATCCAGTGACACTGGCTTCCTGGTTGTTCCATGAACAGGAAACTACCTTGCAGCTCTGGGTATTTTCTCTGACTGTCTCCCATGTCTGATATGCTCTCCCTCCTCCAATCCAACTGACTTCCCTAACTTTCTTTATATGCCAACTAAAATCCCGTCTTTTATTAGAAGCTTTCCCCCACCCCTCTTAATTCTAATGTTTTCCCTCTATTAATTATTTCATATTTATCATATGTATAACTTGCTTTGGATATATTTATTTACATGTTGTCTCCATTAGATTGTAAGCTCCTTGAAGAATAGTGACTGTCTTTTGCCACTTTTCGTATCCCTGACCTCTAAGCACAGCTCCTGACACATAGTAGGCACTTAATAAATGTTTATGGTTGATCAGTTTATTGATTGATTGCCCTGTAGTGCATTGTATAGGGTGAAGTAGCTTAAATATAAATTAAGTGACTTAATAACTAAAGGTCTAAGGAAATATATTACCAGTTCATTCTCATAATACTGCAAAGATAGAATAGTATTAATTAGTAGTCACACTACATATGTATATGCCTTCATTATATAGTATTGTTATTCACTAATTGATATTATGAATATTTTGTATACTTTCTAAATCATGGAGGTTTACATGTTCAGATACAAGAACATAAGGAAATTGTAAAACTTACTAATTCTGATAGGGAAATGTTCTGATAAATAATAACAATAATAATAATATCTGGTGTTTATATAGTGCTTACAAATGTTATCTCATTTGATCCTCACAATAGCTCTGTGGGGTGTAGGTACTGTTACTATCCCTATTTTACAAATGGGGAAACCGGGGAAGACAGAGGATCAGTGACATTCCCAGGGTCATTCAGCTAGTAAGTCTCAGAGGCTGTGTTTGAACTTAAGTCTTTCCAAATCCAGTTCCAGCACTTTATCCACTGAGCCACTTAGCTGTATCTAAATAAATCAAAGCAGGGAGTCATTTGCAAAGAGAAAAGCAAGAATGAGGACTGAGCTATATGATCTATAAAGGGTGACCTTTGACCTCTGCTGCTGAAAAATTTTTTCATGATAGGTATATCTTGTTTTTCATAATTGATGATATTACTAGAAAGTTTTTTTTGTGAGGAGAATCATTTTGAGTGCTATAAAAACATCTTTTTAAAAAACAGAAACCTTTTCTTCATGTAATTAGCTTTTTAGTCCCTTTAATGGTCTTTGATTTTCTTCTTCCAGCCCACACTATTTATTCTCTGTCTTAAGTATTATAATCAGTTAAGAGACAGCTAAGTGAAAGAGTGCTGGACCTGGAGTTAACTGAGATCTGAGTTCAAATCTGACCTTAGACACTTACTAGCTATGTGACTTTAGACAAGCCACGTAACCTTTGTCTGCCTCAGTTTCCTCTAATGTAAAATGGATCTAATAATTGTACCTACCTCCCAGAATTGTAGTAAAGTTGAAATGAGATAATGCTTTGCAAACCTTAAAGCACAATATGGAACTATGTTTAATATGATTGAACATGTATAGCTTATATCAGATTGCTTGCCATCTTTGGGAGGAGAAGGAGAGGGAAAGAGGGAGAAAAAAATTTGGAACTCGGAATCTTATAAAAGTAAATGTTGAAAACTATCTTTATGTGTAATTGGAAAAAAATAAAATACTATTAAGTGGAAAAAATAAAAGAAACTGAAGCCTTAAAGCATCATATTAATGCTAGCAAATATTATTAGCCAGAATACATACCTTCCATTTGTGAAAATATTTTTACTGAAATAACTCAGAATATTAAATTACTCATTTATAACAATGTTATCCTACAATTATTTGCAAGGAACTTTATCGTAGAAAATGTATTAACTATCCAGCTTTTCAGAGATATTTTCCTTTTCCTCCTTTATAACAGTGTTTTATAGATGCTTTTTGATTTTACATTGCAGTCATTTCCAGATCTAACTGCGCTACCACTCATTGAACCTTCTCTTATAATAGAAAAAAATCAAGGTAAAATCAGCCAACAGAGCCAACAGTCCTAAAATTTAGTACATAGAACTTAACAGGATTCCACATGTGCTCTCATGAGGCCATATTATAACAAGATTTTAATTTTGGTCACTGTGCTTTTCTTAATATAACCACTGCTCACAGGAGCTTTTTTGAATTGCCATGTTGTACTGTTGACTCATTGAGCTTACCATATACTAAAACCCTCTTATCTTTTTCATACAAATAGCTCTGTATCCATACCTTCCTTATTTCGTATTTGTGAAGGTGATTATTTGAAATCTATTATAGGGCTTGGCATTTCCCCACTATAAATGTTGTATTATTAGAGTCAGTTCAGCATTCTCCTTTGGGTTCTTTTTGGATCCTGTTTGTACTGACTGTCCAGTGTGTTACTTATCTCTCCTAGCTGGGTGACTAAATTAATAAAGATATTATTTTGTACTTATCCAAACCAGTGACAAAAATGTTAAACTCTACAACGCCAAGGATAAATAACTAGGACATTCCTCTAGAGACCATTTTGCATGTTAACATGGATCTAGTAATGACTAATCTTTGTGTTAACCAATCATTCAGCCGTTTCGCAAATCATCCAGTTGTACTGTTGCCTAGCTGATATCTCCTATCTCATCTATAAAAATACCATGATGGACTTAGCCAATGCTTTGCTGAAATCAACGTAAACTATTTCTAACTGTCATAAAAGAAAATGTAATTAGCCTTTTCTTCTAGAGTTCTCTTCATTATCTTTTTTTCTTCTCATTCACCTTCAGCAGGAGTCCTCTCCCTTTTTAAAAATTAGACAGTTAATTTTTTTCCATGGTTGAAAACAAAAGAAAACAAAACAACTACCCCACCCCCAAACAAAAACTTGTTATTATCTTTACCAGCCTCAGCTCATTCTGCCTTCCATTTAAAACCCTCTACAATTTGACTTCGTGTTTTCTTTTATATTATTCCTATGAACACAACTCTCTTTTCCAGTCAAATTGATATTTTAGCATTCCGCAGGTACAATAACCCATCTCTTCCCTCCTTGCCTTTATTTACATAGGCTCCCAACAGCCACCTTTTCCCTCCATTCTGGAATGCTCTCTTTCTTCTCACTTTTATGTCTATGAATCCCTAGCTTCCTTCAAAACACAGTTTAGGTATGACTTCTTCAATTCATCTTTCCTGATCTTCCCCAGTTGTTAGTCCTTTCTCCCTCTTGAAATTGATATATTTTTGCATTTACTTTGCTGCATATATCTATCATCCCAATCATAGGCTTACTGAGGGCAGAAACTATCTTTGAATCACTGTCACTTAATATAATATAATATGTACAGTAAGCCCTTAATATGTTTGTTGAATTGAATTCTGAGCTTTAACACTCCCGTTACTATTCATACAAGGTCGTGGTATAATTTTTGTGTTCCTTTTGTTACTTGCTCTTATTTCCATCTGTAAACAGCTTTTTAATATCTTAGTTTTATCAGTAAGCTTCCTGTGGACCCCCATCATTTCTTTAAACAACTCCCTCCTTTCAGAGTTAGCTTACTGCTTTCTACATTGTTTTTAAACTCGTTACTGTACAATATGGTTTTGCTGTATATCTTTTTCCTTTTCAGGCATCTGTGTACAGCACAGCATCTTCAGCTGCATCTCCTAGAACAACTTTCCTCAATTCAGTAGATGCCAAAACAAAAGGAGAAATTGATGATGGGAAGAAAATCATCCTAGATGACCTCAGAACACAAGTTGTTGAGTTGTTGTGTGTTGTAGAAGCAATCAAAAAGGAACATGGGTAAGTCTTGCTTTTTCGCTTTGAGTATTACTTAATTCATGGTGTATCAGAGCTAGAAGGGATATTAGAGAATTAATGATCTATTCTCCTAATTTTAAGAGAACATATACATATAATTCATTACATATTCATTTCTTTCTAATGCTACTTTATAGCAACAGAACTTTAAAACAAAACTTGTTTTGATTATCTGTAGGTTTGATACAAATGTATCAAAGAATCAGTGATTAAATGTGCTTTTGTAGGGAATAGAAAATTTAAACAATGATAACTTATTTCTGTGGATAGCTATAATCCTTTTGGGAAAATAGTTTTCCATAGTCTTTTTATAGACAGGAGACATGTTTATCCATCAGTTTAGACTGTGTTCTCTATATAACATTTAGTAAATGTTAATTATAGATTTAGAGGTCTTACTTTCCTCTGGAGTTAAAATAATGCAACTCCTATACTTGCTGAAGTTTCTTACTCATTACTTTTCATAAGACATATTGAGAGCTTTCTCTTCTGATGTGCATTGTAAAACTACCTCAAAATGTAATATTGATTCTTCGTGATAATTTTTAATTGTCCTACTCTCAAAGGAAAGACTGTGTAGTTGAAAAACAGCGTGTTTAAAAAGCCACAACATTTGTAGTATAAACCATGCACTACCAATTTGTAAACTGGGCTAGACATGCAGTAGTTTAATAAATGCTTGCTCCTTGCTGGCTAATACTCATAGGAAATATTTCTTACCTAGAGTAGCAAAAGTATATATAATTTTTTACCTATTTGGCTTCTTGAGGCAAAAATCTTTGTTCTTGATAAAATCTGGCCAGGCCTGATGACACGTGTGGCAAGTTGAGGATGGTGGATCTCTTGGGTTCAGGAGTTCTGAGTTTCCCTAGGTTAAAGCCAATCAGGTGTCTACAGTAAATCTAGTACCAATGTGGTACTAGATGTGGTAAGCTCACATGAATCAGTGACCACTAGGCTACTTAGGAATAGCAGTAGATCAAAGCGTCTGTGCAAACCAGCAGGAGGGACAGGCCTGTGAGTGGCTGCTGAGCTCTCAGCCTAGGTGAGATAAGGAGAGCCAGCTTTAAATCAGTAAATTCAGGCCGTTTTTATTATCTAATAAACAACCAACATATATGTATGTACTCATCATACTTCAGGGATCTGTAGTTTCATCTGTATGGATATTTGTCCTCTACCAACAGTTTGTCATCCCAACACTTTAAAAGATATTTATAATTAGTTTTGGTAACTGAAAAAAGTTCCCACCTGATGATGAGCCTCTTCCATCTGAGCTAGGCAGGCCCTGGTAAGACAAACATCGAGTCCATCACTATTCTGCCTTCAAAGACTTTCCAGTTTGTTGTAATGTGCCAAGTTTGTGTGCTGATAACATAGCTTTCAAAAACCCAGTGTTAGCTTACACTGAACTGAGGTATTAAAACTTGAGTGGAAGGTGGCAGGGTGAATCCATAAATGTGTAAGGATTGGTAGTTGTATGAGATTTTCCTTTATGCAACTTAGTTGAAGCTACAATTATGTTTTGAGCAACATGTTCTTTTTACTGTACTGTATTTAAGTCCATTTGAGTTGTATTTTTCTCTTTAAAAAATGATTAATGTTAGATGTATTACTACTGTAAAGAAGTACTTATTTTAGACCTCCAGAAGTAACTTCCTCTTAGTTAAAAATCTGCCTTAGCATGGTGGATGGATTGACAGCATGAGGTTTTATTAAACTCTGCATTAAATCCTACTAATATTTACAGAGTTAAGTCTGGCAGGTCAGTCCAAGAAGACTATATTAGTTGAATTTGTAGACTTCATTTAAAGCTTCCTAAGACTTTTTTTTTTATTTTTTAAAATTTAATTTTGTTATTAAAAAGTTTGTTCACATTTTTTAGGGGTTTTTTTTGGTGGTAATTTTGCTGATGTTTAACTATTTGAACTAGAAATTTAAAATGTGTGCATATCAACCATATGGCCATTTCTACTTCTACATACACCTAAAAAATTATTTTTGTTTTTTAGGAAGGAACTGGAAAAACTAAGAAAAGAATTGGAAGAGGAGAAGGCAATTAGAAGTAACCTAGAGGTAATTCAGTTCTGCAGTATTTTGTCATCATAAAGCATCAAAATGAAAATATTAGTGGGTGCTAAACATAATGAGTATCTACATTGTGTAGAATGTGGTAATTGTACCGTTTAGAGAGGGGTTCTTGTCTTGTTTTTAAAATTTTAAAGGGAGAGAGGCAGAGGCAATTTGGCATAGTGGATAGAGAGCCCACCTTTGATACTTATTGGCTGTGTGACCCTGGACAAGTTATTTCCAAATGCTTCAGACATCTCTCAAGACTATAAATTGAAAAATAGTTGCCTGTTTGAATTGGTGGAGGCAATTTTTTGATTGGGAAACCACTATACTAGTAAAATCATGTGGGAGGAGGAGAGAAGAGAAAAAAATGTCATTAAGGTGGTTCTGTCTTCCAGTAAATTATATCCTAGTTAGGAAACAGAATATATGTATGGGGGAAAAATTGTTCTCTGTATATTTATCTCATCATGTTTTTAAGTGCTAAGTCCTGGCATATTTTCCTTCATTTCAAAGTGATGGAAATTTGCAATAGGTTTTAGTTCTTTTCTCCACTCTCTTCCCATACAATTTATCCTTCCCGGTGTTGCTAAACTAGTCTTCCTTGTACATGTATCTGGTCATTATTCTTTTGCTAAAAACCTTTCAGTGGTTCCCTGTTTCTTGCCAAGTAAAGTTCTAGAAACTTATCTTAGCATTCACAGGAGTCTAATCAACTTTGCAGCCTTATTTCATAATGAATCCCCTTCTCATACTGTCTACTTCAGCCAAACTGGACTATTTGCCTTCTTATACATAAATCTCATATTTTTCTGAAGTCCTTTCCTTAAACTCCCCACATTTCTATCTGTCCTTTCAAGCCCAACTCAGATATCAGCATGGATCTCACATGGTCCTTTGGTTGTACCTGTTACACACTTGTGTATTATTTTTTGTTAGTCATATAATTTTCTGTTTATCATCTATAGAAACTATATGCTATACTGTAAACTGCTTAAGAAACAGGCACTGGGACTTAACCTAAAATTTCTTTTTTGTTGTTTCACTCAGGGCATAATATGTGCTTGATAAGTTTATTTAACTGAATAGATATAAGTAAGTAAAAACTAATTTAGCTTCAGATCTTTTTGTGAAACAATCGAAAAACATGGACTGTGGAGTAAAAGCATTAGCAGGTTCATGGGGTCCTTAGGTACTTGCTTCATATGTATTAATTTTCTTAACATCCATTTTTCCTTTACCTGAGCAGCTGTTTTTAGCAAAGTCAGTTGTGAGGAAAATATAAATATATTAATAAGTGATATAATCCTTTCCTGATCCCCCAACTGCTAATATTTTGTTCTTTTTATATTTATGTTTATACTTATAGGTATTTGTTTTCTTCCTTAATAGAATATAAACTTCAAGAATAGAGATTATTCCATTCTTTTTATTTGTATCCTCAATACTTAGCATAGTGCCCTGGTCATAAGAGGTACCTCACTCAGTTCTTATTGATTAATATGAGACTTTTAAAATCATGAACTTAAAAAAAATTTTAAGTTTTTAATGTAAAAATAATTCAATTCAGCAGATTTTAGGGCACTGTTCTCATAAGACTTCTAGTTTTATAAGTGAAAAATGACGCATTTAAATGATTGTAATTCAGTAAAGAGTGTGATAAATACCTTAGGTGAAATAATAGTGCCATAGATATCCAGATGAAGGAGTGATCTTTTCTGACTAGTATAAATATACTGAATCGCTCACATTTATATAATGCTTTAAGATTTGTAAAGTGTTTTACATATGTTATCTCGTTTGATCCTTACAACAACCTGGTAAGATAGGTGTTAGGATCATTATTTCATAGTTCATAAAACTGAGGTTCTGGGAGGTTAAGTCACTTGCCTACTGTCCCACAGCAAGTGTCTGAGGTAGTCTTCTTCTCTTTAAGGTATTCTATACACTGCACTGCCTACCAGATGCTAATATGGTGATTTATTAAAGTGGCCAAGAAAATACTAAATAATAAGATGGTGAATTACTTAAAAAAAAAGACAAAAAGCACTGAATATTAAATTAAAACCAAAAAGTCCATATGATCATTTGCCTCACATAATAAAGACACTACCTAGATAGCAGGCCTTAAAATTTTAACAGTTGTGCTACGTGTTTTAGCTTCAACCACTTTTAAGATTTTCTAACTTACAAAGTAATATATGATAACATGTAAACATTCTATCAGCACACATGCAGTGTTTTCTAGGAATCCTAATAGTGTTTTAAAAATTGAAACCCAAGAGAGGAGATAGCATGTAAAGATAAATACTTAAATGTCTTACATTTGCCTGTTAGCTCTTATTTCAATGTCTTTATTTAAAATACTTATCCAATTTCCTTTCATCATTTTCTGGCACTCACCAAGACTCTGCTTCCTCCTAACAATATTGCTTCCCTCCCCACCTTTCTGGTCTGTGCTACGTTTCTTTCCCCAAATACCCTTGTGTCTCTCTGATCATGTCCAGGAAGTCAGAATACCCTTTACTCTAGAGTGTAGCTCACAGACTCTCTCTACCAACTTAACAAAAGTAACCTTTCCTCTTTTGACATTCACACTATTCAAATTTATCACTCAATCCACAGACCAGTGAGCCTTATTTTGACACCCTACCCCTCAGACATTTTGCATTCTTCCTCATTGAATTCTGTGCCCGGTTCATAGTCTTTCTTTTCTGGTGACCTATACACTGATTTCCTAGTTTTTCGTTCTACTGTGACACAGTTCATCCTGTCCTTTGATCTGAATATTACCTACCAGGGTTCTACTTCAACTGCATGAATTCTACCATTCTTTTTATCCATTCATAACTTTTGAGCACTAGGCCTTTCCCTCAGCCATACAACCCCTTACTCTTCTTCATCTTCACCATGGCTTCACCATCTTCACTATTCCTTCCATTTGTCATTTCTTATCCAAGCCGTCATCCTACCCTGTTTTTTCCCTTCCATATATTGAACCTTTGGTTAACCATCTTAGCTCTCCCCTCTCCTCTTAAAATTGTGGGCCCCTTGTCATGTTGCCACCACATCTTACCAAACCCTAGCCATTGATGACTTCACTTTTCTGCCTTTTTGGCTTCTATTCATGGAATGGAGTTGAAGGAAATTAAGGAACTGTGTAGACTAGGTTCTATATAAATTAGTTACATAACCTCAACTGGACTCTCAGTGAAGCAAGGTGAACTGAATATTTTTACCTTCCCTAATCAACTCACACTTTCTGTAGGAAGTGGTAACTCAGAAAGTTAGAGGGGATCACATGCTTATTCCATCACACAGAGTAGGAGCTTTTTTATTGCTTCTTGACTGACTGTTGACTCCAAGCTTCCTTCTTTATTGAAGTAGGACAACATTTACCCTAAGTGTGAAATCTTTGTACAAGTTTTCACTGCCTTCTTACCATAGCACTGGTTCAAATATATTTCTTATTATATTCATGGGAATTAAACTTCAGGTGTTTTAAGATAATGGGACCTGATAAGTACTATGGTCTATGCTGGTGTTTTCATTGTCGAAAATGTAAAAAGATCAAGATATAAGACTTAGGGATATGACAGAGAAGCTTTAATACAGCCAAGATACCACTGTTGCTTATGCTCTGTTTTTCCTTTTTAGGTGGAAATAGAAAAGCTGAAAAAACTAGCCCTGTCTACTTGAGGGAGGTGTGGCGTAGACTCAGTGTTCTTCTTTGGCCAGGGATTCATAAACGAGAATATGAACTGAAAACTGATTTGTTTACTTCCAAGTAACAAAAGATTTTTCGTGTGCTATAGGAAAAAAATGAGTACATGAGTTTTCATATCTTACAGAAGGGGAAAAATGAAAATTGTATATTTTATTTTATTTTATTTGCCAATATGAAAACGAGGCCTTATTTCTTACTGTGCTGGAATCGCAAACCTCTTTTTTTTTTTCTGGTTTGCTTTAAAATACTACTGAATCTGTATAAAAAGGAGAGAAAGTTGGTAATAGATTTTTATTGAATACTGACAGTGTAATTTTAAGAGTCTATACTATAAATAGGTTGATATATCTCCTGGTAACCTGTAAAATAGACTGTGGGAGGGACACATTAGCTTAATAATCAGTAACTTGTAGTAATTACTTTTCCCCTAATGCAAAAGGGACATAGGATATTTGTATGTATATATATATATATATAAATATATATATTTTATTTTTAGCTTTCCTACCCAAGATTACACTGTTGTGCCTATATGTCTGCAGTGCTGTTTATCATTTGGGTAACAAAATAGGAATGCATTCTCTATGAAACAGGTGAATCAATCACATGTGCAAATTAAAAATAGCTTATGAAATAGAATAAATTTGATAGCTGAAATATTTCATGCCACTTGCACTATAGGGTTCATAAAAGAAATTTATTAAACCATACTTCAATCATTAAATATATTTTTAAATGAGTAAGATTTTCTTAAATCTGTCAGAGCTAAGAGGCCAGAAAGCTGTCTTTCACTTCATTGTGCCTAGAAACTGCAGCCCATTTAACATGCAAACACCAGCCTTATTGCTGAATTTCTCTGCTTATTTTGTAGATTCAAATATTACCTAGTCTATGGTCTTGTAATTTAATCCTCCCTCTTTTAAAATACCATTAATAAAACAAAATGCAAATCTTTAGGAAATTTGTCATGAGATCATTCTTTCAGAGCAGTCAACTCATCATGTAAATATTCAATTTAAGAAATATTATTTACCTAATTAAACTAAATAACTTTTTGGAGTTATTATTTTGAATTGTTGGGTAGATACTAACTTTATAAAGAATGCTATTTTACTTCACAGACCATAGTATCACATTTGTTATTATATCAAATAAGACTCCTTTTCAAAGTTGCATTTTCATAAATCACATGGTCAGTAGCTCCTTTTAAATTTGTTAACTTCAACACAGTTTTAAAATGTATCTCAGTAATTTGTCAAAACCTTCAAATGTGGAC